TCTTTGCTTTTTGGAGAAGAAGGAACTGGGGAACTTGTAGAGGAATAATCATACACATTATCCATAGAAGATGAATCACCAGGTAAATAAGGTGAGTCAACTTCCATATAAATAACTTCAGCTTTCTCATCAAGAGATGAGTGCTTAGATTGTTTGTCAGATTTCTGTGAAGCATTGACAGAAGCCTGACTTTTAGGAGGGTGAGTATTGACCAAATTACCCTGAGTCTTAGCACTATTATTTGTTTGGTTCTGAATCAAAGTTGTGTAGTTCTGCATTTGATCTCTATATTTTTCAAGAATAACAATTACTTCCCTTTCATTTCCATTTTATCTAATTTCTTTTTCTCCTTTATTTGAAATATTTCCGAAATTTTCACTTTTAGCTTCTCTAAGCATTGAGATTAGATCTCTGCTTTGATGCTGAGATTCAATTAATTTCTTTGAATTAGCATTAATTATTTTCTTAATTTCCTTGTCTTTCTCATCAGCTTGCGGTAAAATATCTTCGTCAGATTCAATAACAGACCGTTCTTCTTTTTTCCCCATTTCAGTGTCTCTACTTCGATCTCCTTCTCGAGATCGTTTTACTTGAGATTGTGTCAAAACCGCATTTATCCTTTCTAAATTTAAGAACTGTTTATCTTTGAACAACTGAGCAGTTTTGTTACCCAATACATATCTGCCAGGATCATTTGTAACAACAGCTGCCTTTGTTTTTATGTGACCAAGTTCACAATTAATTTCAACTTTCAGCTAACGGTAGACATACTAAATGGTCATTTAAGACACTATTGTATCCAGACATGTTCTCCAATCATTTTTTGGCTTTATCATACGTATTTTCGAGAAATAAAATCTACTGTGGCTTCTGTGTCTCGAAGAATAGGCATTTCATGCCCATTAACGAAACCTTTAATTGTATACGTCTTTAAGAAATTATCATTCGAAAATACGCAATTTATCCTTTCATTCGGGTTTAAGCGAGGCCACTGAGGCTTAAAATGCTCGTATGACCCACACTTGAAACAACATGGTCGATATCTTTTGCTATATAAATTTTCTGGGGTCTTGTTTTGGAAATTGACTTCTTTATCAATGATCTTTCTCGTATTTAAAATCATCCGATATATCAGAATGCTTAAAATGAGGCGGATGCTTCTACTTTTTTTGCATAAAATTTATCATAACGAGGTTTAAATTGATCCTTTATTAATTCTCTAAGTTTCATTGGAAGGAAAATCTCGATTTTATTGTTTTTCTGACATCTTCAAAATCTTAAATTTTCTTAACCATCTCAGTAGGTGAAATTATGGTTGTCCATTGATCCATAAAATGTTCTTTGAAATCAGGAGAAGTACGCTTTTTTATTTTATGCTAGGACACACTATGAACAAAGAACTCTACGTCGAAATCCTGCGTCATTTGCGTGAGTTGATCCAGAAGAAGAGACCAAAAATATAGGCTGAGCAAGTCATGGATGTTTTTGTATGACAATGCTCCTGCTCACCGATCCCTACTCATCAATGACTTTCTTCTTGCGAAAACTAAAACAACTGTTTTGCCTCATCCTCTTTACTCACCTGATCTTGTACCCTGCAATTTCTTCCTATTTTTTGAACTGGCAAGATGCTTGCAGGGTCATCGGTTTCAATCTTCAGATGAAGTTAAATGTGCATTGCAGGCTGAATTAAAGGGCATGGCCAAAAACGGATTTCAGACATGCTCTGATGAACTTTACAGGCGCTGACAAAAGTGTGCTGTTGAAAAAAAACAAAAAAAAAAAAAAAAAAAAAAAAAAAAAAAAACAAAAAAAAAAAAAAAAAAAAAAACAAAAAAAAAAAAAAAAAAAAAAAAAAAAAAAAAAAAAAAAAAAAAAAAAAAAACCAAAAAAAAAAAAAAAAGAAAAAAAAAAAAAAAAACAAGGGTCTTATTTCAAAAGAGGAGGTGTTTCTGCAATTTAATTAATAATGTTTTTTACGTTATAGACTCAGTCTAGGAACTTTTGAATCCTACCTCATGTTACTGTTGGTGAATGCAAATTGGAAAAATTATGAGTGCCTCAGTATATACCTATACAAAAAATTGTTTGTTGTGGTGTGCTTTAACACCTTTTATTGTTTTTCCTATGAGTTGCAAATGATTCTGTAATTCTTTCCAATCTGCTTAACCTTTTTATAGCTTCTTTATTACCTTGGCTGCAAATAATATCTAATTTTTCTGTATTTAAATGAGTGCAATTCTTAATTTCACTACCCACAGCACTTAATGAATTGACCTATTTCTTTGACTCATTACTAAAATCATGCAGTTTAACTTTTACTATCTAAATGTACGTTCACAATCTTACAAAAATAACAGCTAAAAGCTGATTCAGTGTACTCTTTTCTTTTTAAAAAAACTAGTTGGGCCATTAATTATCTAACAACTGCAACCTTTTTTTTTTTAATCTTTTCACTTGACTGTCATTTTATTTAGCAATATAAAATCTTAGCAGTTTTCACAATTTTTTTTTTTTTTTTTTTAATTTGAATCTCTGCAGAATTTAGATCTAAAGCCTGACGTTTTAAAGTAAAAAAAGCTGGTTCTATCCCAACTTTCCAGTTTTCTTCACCTTCCTGAATGTGAACAGGACAGTTTGCATTCGTTGAAACCATGGTGTATGTACCTTATATAACTTGTATTGTTTTGTAAGGGCCTTCCAATGTCTACTTGACATGAATAGTATAATGATAATCGTAATAAAATCTGACTCCGTGAACACATGTAGATAAAACTGAGAACACTGTTATTTCCATGATCTAAAAACAGTTTCTTAAACTTTGTTGTTTTGACAGACTTGCATAATATATAATGAAGGCAGTCAAAACAAAAATAGCATGGTGCAAGTGAATGAGGATTATTTTAAATATATAAGGCACACATAGCATATGCCTGTACTAGTGTTTTGTAAGAAAAAAAAAAACTATGTTCTGTTTCTATATCGTGCTGTAAAAATCATGGCACCAATGCTGTGTTACAACTTCCTCTTAGGGAGGAAACTAATGCAGAAACAGACAGGTGAAACCGTAACTAACTAAATATCAACTGAGAAACTAAACTCTTAAGAGTTAGCTAATTACCTCACTTTTAGTGATCGTATAAGTGAAACTTTTGTGCATTGCGTTGTGAAAATGCATCCGGGACCGCACCGTAAGAGGATCGAATAAATAACATGTAAAATCAATATATGTATAAGAAAAACACATAAAAGATATAAAGAAAACATAAGTAATAGGTTTCCAGATTAAATACCAGTTTATTCAAATTCCTCAACAATTAAAATTAAATCTTATCCTAATCAGAGAGTCAAATTTCTTATGTTTGTTACAGTTCAATTTTACTTATTTTAGACACAGGTGAAATCTTCAATTTATCATTTTCATTTGTTACATTTAAATTCATGATTTGCAAATCTATTACATGACTCTTTTAATTTAACAGTTACCTGTTCTGAGATTTCTAAGAGGTTAAAGAAAACATATTATCTGCAATTCAACATCTGTTCTAAGGAAGATTACACAAACAAATTATATTATTACATCCTAATTCATAAGAGGACCTTAAGGTTTGTCTCGGTAAATTAAGAAGGGGAAAAGGGAGGCAATTTAGCTCCTTAGATTAAATGAATTAATTTAAGATTCAAATTAAAGTTCCAATTTCCAAAAGTTCGAAGGAAAATTGATAGCAAAGCACTTATCTGTTGTTTAGATGACTTGAAACGCCCCTGGAAAGGTCTCTGGCTGGCCTTGCATTCTGGGAGAAATCAGGTATAAGAAGTCCACCATAATTCCTGGGAAAATGCATTCCGTAAGGGGAACACAGGCGTCTAAGGAGTCTCACGCTTTCGGTGTCACTGGTGTTCTTTCAGTGTTCGCAATTCAGGCTAACACCGACTCCATTATTTTTCAGCAACACATCTGCACGCTCAGCATCGCAGAAAGTAAGCCACTAGAACCAGCACCCGAGCAGAATCTTCAAGCTCGCAGTCCGGATGTCGAGTATAAAATCTCACATTAGCCGGGGTGGAACTTGGCCAATAATTCTTGGAATTTAATACTCGCTGGAGAAAAAAAAACTTAATACTCACTGGATCATTTTTTTTTTTCGATAGCAAGGCGACGGTCGGATAGTGTCCGCCGTGCTCCACCTGAATCACCACTTATTCATCCCCGGAAACGTAACAAATCCTTCAGCTTCGAAAGTCGGGCAAAAAAAGATTAAAACTCGAATTTTCTTCGTCTCCTTCACAAACGCGGGCTCCCACTATGGCTTCAATTATCACCCCCTTAATTTGGGCAAAATTTGCATTTCAACCCCTGAATGCTGAAATAAGGGCGAATGCGCGTGCGCGCCCCTCCTTCACCTAGCCAACAACCGGACCTCCGATCGCCAACCTGAATGACTTACATCGAAGGTTAAGTGGCAACCTCTGACCCTTCTGTCACGTACTTCCTGTCCTAAGGTCAACTGCACAATGAAATTTCTTCTAGAACATTCTAAAGGACAAAAGCGCGCGAAATCATGACTTAGCAAAATCGCCTCCTTTTCCCTGCTTCTTTTCACAATGAATCAAAGCTTGTACAAAAATTGCGAATAAAAGAAAAATAAATAATGTTCTTTGAAACTAAATAATATTCCCAGAAGCATCTGTTTTTCCCCAGAATTAAAGCATTAAAATAAATAATTCAGAATCAAATAAAATTAAGATTTCCTTAAATCAGAAATTATTCACCTAGTTTTTATAACGCGATCAGACAATTCTCTACACAACACTAGAAATAATATTTCTTTTGCTTTTAAATTAATTTGTAAATTAATTTTTAATATTTTCACTGTAATGTTTTGCACTGGAGAAAATTTCATCTGAATGCAACAAAAACTAAACAAATTTAAGTTGCTTTCTTTAAATTACTTTATTACTATACCTTTAATTCATCATCTGTTTCGTTTTACTTACAGGTAAATTTTCAGCTTCAGCACAACATTCTTCAGATTTATTTGAAAGAACTAGGAAGGAGACATCTAAGCCTGTTTTTGATGTTGAAGATAAAAGCAGTTCTATTTCCAATCAGTGTGTCAAGTGCCATGCTGTTCAATTTTTAAAAAATCTTAATGATTCTGTTACTGGGGATAATATGAATCTACAGGAAGCATTAAAAAAGGTTCCCATCTCTATGGAAAGGGATGATACGCATTACATTAATCAGGATTTAAATGCTTGTATTGGGAATCTTAAAAGCCAATCCTCATCAATATTTGAACATTCTAAAGCTTTTTCAGAAAATGGCGGAAGTGATATGCATGTTAATGTTATATCCAGCGTTCAAAAGTCTGTAACTTTGGCCGAATCAGAGCTAAAAGAATTTCCCGAACCTGATTTAGAAACTCAAAATTATATTCAGTCTCCTGTAGCAAAATCCCTTTTTGAGAAAACATTTGATAATAAAATCATGCTGCATGAGCAAAAACGTAAAGGTAGTTCTATGACAAAAGATGGTGCGAGAGCAGAAACTAATCCTGATGGAGATAAAGTATCAAGTTCTTTTCTTATGAATAGTTCATTAAACAACAAAATTCAAGACCAAGGTAATAGTTTTCAAGAGTTGTCATCACTTTCAAGAATTTCATCAGTCAAATCTACCTGTCAGCCAGTTGAATCAAAATCAGCTGTACAAGGGAATTCATATGTGTCACAAAACGTATTACAAACTAAGCAGTTTTCAAGTAGAGGATGCAGTACAAGTGATCTTATGGCTTTATATCAAAAACATCTAACTGGCTATCAGGGTAATTCCTCTAGATCAGAAGATGGTTTTATTAATAAAACTGAAAAAATAAAATTCGTAGATAAGGAACTACAAACAATGGAATGCTATCCATGTTATCAAAAGGTTTCAAATCAAGCAAATTTGCCATCTTCTATTAATAGCAAGACATGCATGTCTGTTGGCTGTCAGGTTTCTGAATTCGATTTCCAGCCACCCCAAAGAACAACAGATTCTGAAATTGGAAGTTCCTACAGCTTTGACATGGTGAAATTTAAAGACTTTTTGAATAGAACACTTGCTCAAAGACTTCCTTATGGAAAACAAAAAAGTAATAAATCTGGCATAACATTTTGCCTTTCATCGTTGTGCCTTTGTCATAATAAGAAAACTCTTGGGGTAAGTTAAAAGATATATATTTATTTATTCGTGATGCATTATTTTTGTAATAAATAATTAGAAGAAACATTATCTTGTGAGTTTTGGTACAGGTATTGAAAAAGATTGAATTTTGTCAAACTTCTGTACATTAAAATCGATTGCAACACTTTTTTGAAGTTAATCATGAACATTATCTTTTTTTTCCTCTTGCACCAGTAGATTATCATATTAATTCTAGGGGGGATTGTAGTTAATATTTATGAAAAGGTTTAAACTACCAATTATAAATGTACAGTTATTTCATGGAGGTAAGAAATTCACCATTTTGACAGAATAGTAGCTCTGATGTTAGGGAATTATCTAAGTAATATGTCACTCATATTGCATCTTTTTTTTTCTTCAAAACATCTGAATTACTTATTCATTTTGTTTAATTCATTTACTAATCTATATAATTTAATCCTTTCTTCATATTCAGTGAGAAAAATTACACTTACTCTTTTATTCATTTGTTATTTTTTATTTAGCAAAAAACATTCATTTTTTAAAACATGTTCGTTTGATAAGTTTTAAGTAGTTATAGCTTGATTTATTTTATCTCCCACAAATACAGTTTAGTCAGCATTTTAAGATGCTTTATGTGAATTCTGAAAACTGAAATCCAGTTCTCTTTGTCAAAGTATTGCCTATTCTTAAAATGTAGGTCTTCCAAGGTATTATTCATACATTTTTTATTTTATTTATAATTAATTTTGGGTATTATTTTGTTCTTGAAATAACAGCTTTCTGAATTCTAAACATTGGATTTTTGACAAAGCATCAAATAATGAAATTCACTATTCCACCTTTTAGAAAGGAAATAATAACTATAACCTTTCTTGACATAATGTATAAAGAATTATTGGTTATGTGTAACTATGTAATTCTTCATAAAATTAGAAAGCTAAAATGCCAAAGCATATGAGGGCATTTCCTATACTCTTCTTCAATTCTAATGTGTTATATAATCCAAATCTAAAAAGAAATTTACTATCGTGAGCAAGGTTAGAAAAGGCAGGTGCTCATTTTGTGATTTCAAAAGGGAAGATGTGGATATACTTTAATAATTGGGATAGATTATGCCACGCTAAACACTATGATGGACTTTATCACATAAAACCATTTAGATATGCAACAGATAAAAAGGAAGCTAGTTACGGTACAGAAATTGGAAAGTTGAATAAAGTAGTCGATGTGATGCTATGGCATCGGAGATTTAGCCACGTAAATTGTGATTATATTAAGAATACTAGTAAGAATCAAAGCGTGAAAGGGTTACCAGAAATTGAAAAACCAATGGAGAGGGGGGAACCATGTATTATTGCTAAATCTAGTAGAATAACTTTTAAAGTGTTTCCGAAGAGATCGGATAAACCAGGATGCAGTTGGTTTATTTAAACGTTTGTGGCCCACTTCCAGTTCCATCTAATGGTGTATTGTATGAAAGTGTATTGTATGAAAAATAAAAGGGAATTGTTCTACAACTTTAAGAATTATCATAGGCAAATGGAAAGACTGACAAATAGAAAATTAATAGAATTGCACCGATAACGGTGGGAAATTCTGTAACAGGCAATTCAAAGAGTAATTAGCCAAAATTGGAATTGGTGTTGAACACACAAACACGTACACCCCAGAAGAGAACGGTGTGTGGGAACGTTTTAGCCGAGTGGCATTAGACACAGTTAAAGCTATGCTTAATGATGGTAAAATGGAAAGAATGGTGGCAGAAGCTCTTGCTGTTCGTACATACGGACAGTGTATGCATAAAGCAACTGAACCCCTTATGAAATGTTCCTAAATAGAAAACCCAGTGTTGTTATTTTAACATATTGGTTGTAAAGCCTATGTGGCGGCCAAAACAGATTAGAAATAAATTACAAATGAGGTGCAAAGAAGGAATCATGGTAGGATATGTGAATGAAACTAGGGGTTATAGGATATGGCTACAAGACTAGAGGAATCTGAGCTATTAGCAGAATCAGATGAAGAACAGGAAACTTCTAGAGTAGGAATAAAGTTGTCAGATGACAAATCTACCCCGAAAGAAGTGTCAGACTTAAACTGTCAAAGAAAAGCAGTTAAAAGGCCAGACGGAACACGTACAGACATATATTATTATGTAGAGGGAACAGACACACGTTTTAGATCCTATAATGGTATTGAAAAGTATTGTGAGGCAAGAAATATTAAATTTGAAAAGGATAAGTTTGATTTAGTGGAAAAACGAATACTCGGAGAAAGTTAATTTTGTAGAACAGGAGACTAGCTTTGTGTCTGAAGAGGTAAATTCCGTAGGAAATTGTTATCCCACAAAGATTTTACAGAAGCACGAAAATCAGTAAATGCCGAAGAACGGGATAAGGCAATGAAAGAAAAATTGACACAATGAAGAAAAGAAAGGTTTGGGAATTAGTCGAAAAGTCAGAAAACTAAAACTATTGATAGGAAACAAATGGGTCTATACGCTAAAAAGAAATGAAAAGAAGCAAGCGGATTAGATACAAAGCACGTTTAGTAGCACAGGGATTCAGGCAGAGAAACGAGGTGAAGATTTTGATGATGTTTACAGTCCTGTAGTAAATTTTCCAATCATAAGAATTTTTCACTATCTGGTATGTTTATATGGATGGACTAATTGTCAGTTAGATGTAAAGAACGCATATTTATATGCAAACCTAAATGAGAAAATATATATGACCCAGCCAGAGGGATTTATTGAAGAGGAAAATAAAGTGTGTTTATTACACAAGACCATTTACGGTCTACATCAAAGTGGCCGTGAATGGTTTTGTGAATTCAACAGTACTTTACAAAATCTACATTTTAAGAAAATACAATGGTGTAATTGTGTTTATAAAAGTTCAAATGTAATTCTCGGTACTATTCGGTTTCGAGGGCTGTAAAAAATCGCCAAGCTATTTTTGATGCCAATGCTGCCAAAAATAATTACGCCAACCCTAATAATAATTGCGGCAAGAAAGGAAGTAAATAACTATCTAAGTTTTAATTTAGATGAAAGATTAATTTCATATAATACTTTTTTATTATTATAATTTATATGAAAAAGGCTAAACATGACTGAATGGAAGCATAAGAGTAAATAACTATTTCAGATCATTATTATAATTTCTTTAAAAATTGCTAAAGTTAACTGAATGGATGCCTGCATCGCTATTTCGCTACCGACTTATCACTAAAGCATAATTTCATCTCGTTGGTTGTTCAAACGTAATTTTCTATAAAGAATGATGCCCTTTCTTTGAAAATATTCAGAATCGGAATTCAGAAGTGAAGAATTGCTCATTTATTTGTTTGCCACTTTTTACAAGGTTAAAAACAATTGGTTTTTGTCAATTTTCATTTACTTTTTAAGTGAAAATAGATCGATGTGTACATAGACAAATTCAAGGGTGTGCCATTTTTGTGCAATTCTGGGATTTTTTTTAAGTGAAAATAGGTCGCCGTATACATGGATACCGAGTATGTCCAATTCTTATAAACGCGTCAAACAGTGGGTGATTCTGTACTTTACCCAAAATTCTATGGCAGACTTTTCATCATGGGCAATTCCGAAGTTGTTAAAATCCATAGGATATCAAAAAAGATTTAAGATCAAAAAAAGATTTAAAAAATTAAACTGGTATTTCAATGGCGTCTTAAGAAATGTAGAACTATATAAACTTATGCAATCTGAAACCAGCGCATACGCTAGATTTGGCATGCTGTTAAATGGGTGCTTTTGCGCTTACATTTTCGCTGCAATTTTTTTACGGCCCTCAAAACAGAAGCGTACCTAATTCTCTTGTTATATGTAGATGATGTTGTGATTTTTAGTAAAAATCAATATAGTATAGATAAAGTAATTTAACAGCTAAGTAAGGTTTTGATCTTAAAGTATTAGGCAAAACTAAAACATTACTTGGAATTGAATTCTTAGAGAATGAGAATGGGGTTTTTATACAACAGCAAAAATATATCGAAGAAATTGTTGAAAATTTTAAACATTTCTAGATACCAATAACTTCACTTCCCATAGCTAAAGGCACTATTCTCACAAAATTAGATTGTCCATCTACAAGTGCAGAAATTGTGGTTTAGAAATCTGTTCGGATGTTTAGTTTTTGTAGTTAACAGGACAAGGCCTGATATTACATATGCAGTGAATATCTTATCACAATTTCAGGAGAATCCAGGAATTAGGCATTGGGAAGCATTGTTGAAATTGCTTGGTTATTTCAATAGTACTAAATTATATAAGTTAAACTTATTAAGATTAAACATCTAAATTTATATTGTTATTCAGATGCTGATTATGCAAGTAATAGGGATGACCGCGTGTCCATGGGAGGATTTATATTGTATTTAGATGAAGTACCGGTAATCTGGAAAACTGTTAAACAAAAATGTGTAAGTTTATCAACCATGGAAGCGTTTATGAAATGCACTTCAAGATCTAAACTGAAAGCGAATCACTGATGATACATCTATACTACCAGTTCAATGAAAGCAACTCGCCAACTGCCTTCTACTAGGGAGGTTGGTTTGAGAGACTAATATTAATTCTTAAGCATCTGCTAAGAAGAGTACTAGGAAGAGCTTCCTTAACTTCTGAAGAAATTATCACGATTCGCTGCAATTGTGAAGCAGTGAATAACTTCCATCCATTGACATAATGTAACCAAAAATGATGCTATATTTATGCCTTTAAGTCCATTTCTACTTCTGCAAGACAGTCAAGTAAGTGGTGTTCCAAATCTTGATCACATTGGGCAAAGTCTTAATAAACGGGTTAAATGTAGAGAAAACCTGGAAAGGGATTTAAGGAACAGGTTTAGGTCTGAATATCTAAGGGCACTCATTCAAAAATCAGGGAACAGAAAATCTTGTGAATATTGGTGAAGAATGTAGTAAGTGAAAGTGAATATTGGTGATGTATTGATAGGAAGTGATAACACCAAGCGAATCATTTTGCCATTAGGCAAAATAATTCAGATCCTTCTGGGGAAAGACAGAATTACAAGACTTGTTGAGCTTAAAACAACTAATGGACAATTGCTAAGACCAATTCAAAGATTGTACCCATTTGAAGTATCCAATGATGGTCCCATTATTGAGAAATTTTCAATCAAGGATGTGGGAAATTAATCTTTTGAAAATATTGCTTCTGATACGTGTGTGTACCCGAGCCTCAGGTTCAAAAGACTAGTGCAGGTCGTACAGTCAAAGTACCTAAGAGATTGGATTTATGAATTATTTATAATTTTCTTTTGTAACTTGTGAACTGTTCATAATTTTCTTTGGTTAAATTTAAGATAAAAAGCTAACTTGGGTGGGAGTATGTCAAACATCTATCTAATGTAATCTTCGTTTGATGTTATTTAGTAAATTAAATGGCAATATTGGAGGTTTCTTTTACATTTATGTTTAGAACCTGTTTATTCTTCTGATATTCAAAGGCAAAATGGAAGATTCAATATGCATGAATATATTGGTGAATTTAATCTGATTTCAGGAAGATCTTTTCATGAATAAGCCTTCATTTGTAGCAAGATCTGTAAAGAGGCAGCAAGAAATTAAAAACAGAAATAAAACCTTGTGCGCTCAAAATTCTTCTCCAGTTACATTTGATATCCCAGTTATTGTGCATGAACAGCGTTCAAAATCTGGTAAGTAGACTTTTAAATCTTAATATGTAGTATCAAAAATTTTTCTCTTCACTTAAAAGTAAGAACAAAAAGTAACTACTAATTTACATCCCCCTGATGTATTCTTATATGATAAATAGTTACCATTGTTGTAATGTATGTTGAAATATGATATCGCAAAATACCTGAGGAACTCTGTTGGGAAGAGAGGTTTTCTATGGAGAACTGTTGAAGAGAAAGTAGCTGAACATGAAAAGGAAATCACGGCAAATACTTGCAGTCATTTGTTTTCCCTAAGACTTTGAGACAAAACTATCATTTGCTGCTGTTAAGCCACTATTTGAACTTTGGTTATGCTTAAAAAACATAAGAAATAGTTTTAGGTGCCCACAATTTTTTTAACTGGATGACTACAATTTTAGCTGTAAGTAAATGTCCATAGGTTTTTTGGAAATTACTTTTAGTCCTTAAAAGTCTTTAATTTATGGCCAATATTTGAAAAAGTCTTAGTTTTTCACATCTGACATTTCTATTCCTTTCTAGACTGCCATTCTGAAAATGTTGATTAATATTGTGGATAAATGTGTAATTTAAGTCACACAGCTGATAATGGAGGTATTGCAAATTGTTATTATAAACAAAGCGACTCCAGAACCAAAAAAAAAATCTGATTTTTTGTTCAACTCATCATTTCAAAAGACAGGTTATCAGTACTGTCTGTCTGAATAGAAAAAGTTTGTTGGACTTCGCTATTGAACTTACAGGAATGCTGCGACCTTCAATAAGATCAAAGCATAAATTTTATAGTTGTATTCACCCATTGTTGTCAGTGATTCTGTAAAGTCTTTAATGGTACAAAAAAGATATAAATAGGCCATTTGATAAAAGGGGATAATGTACTGAAAATATCTACAGGTGAACAATCTGAATCTGTAGAAGGCATGTCTTTATTTTAAGAGTTGAGCTTCATCATGCCTAAAACAATGAGGACCATTTAGAGCATTCCTTTGAAGAAGAAATGTCCCTTCAAGGAAAAATACTGAGTAGGATTAATGTCTGTTAAGGCGTTTTTCTTGTGGATTATTGACTTTGTATCTTGGAAAGATGCTCGTAAGATTTATGGAGACATGATCATAATGTGAAAAAAAGGAAAAATTATTAATAATATTGATGTGTATATAATTATCGATACAGAATTGATGTGTTTTAGAGTTGTATTGTAATAAATTTATCTTATTGTTTGATGAATATTTGGAAAGAAACTGTGAACACAGAGTTATTCTATTTTTTATGGTACTTCCTTATTGTTATGACCCCATATTTAAACTATGCCACAGGCTTCTTGTTAAGGGACTGTACCACAGTGGAAACCCTACTCAGGTTTGATCTAGTTACATGACTCTATGTGGAGTGTACTATGGGCTGTAAGTGATTGTAGTCAAAACTATTGGCCATTTGGTGACAGTTCACAGAGCACTCTTGAGTAAGGTTGCTGCTTTGTTGTAGTTAATTAACAAAAGTGCTCTTGCTGGCACTTAGTTAGGGTTCAATAAGGGTGTACATTTTCTGTTTTGATTCTAAATGTATTTCTTTTTCCTTTATTTCCTCTTTTATTTTTAAAATTTTTCATTATTCCAAAAATTTTGGAAAATTACAATTCTTCTAATTTTATCACATGAACAGGTGTTTCAATGAAGTTCTCTGTTGGTAAAGATACTAAAAAATCAATTTCATTATATTATTTCATAATGTCCTGTGTAATCATTATCAGTATTAAAATTACGAAAGAAATCATGTTTTCTGTATGTCCACATGCAGTTTTATAGCACACACACAAATAAAATTCTAGTGAAATCTAAAAATTCAGAGAAGAAAGAAATAACTGTGGGAAAACTTGATTAGATGATGTGGAAGAGAATTGTTCTTCAAAGGAATGTTGTTGAAGGATAAACAAACTAGAAGATACTGATGCAAAAATGATACAAAACATAGTGGAAATATAGTTTAGGTTATTTGAATATGGCAAAGCACACAAGGGCTATCTGCCTAAGGTGAGAGATGCTTGTGTTGAAGGCTTTTTATGGGAAAATGGGTTGTATCCACTTAACATATGGAGAAAATCATGAACACCCACCCTGCATCCAACTCAGGTTGAACTAGTTTTCAGAAGTCAACCACTTGGCCAGTGGTTGGACAGTAGTAGGTTTGTTTATTGAAGCAAATAAACTTAATTAAAGAGTCTTATTTTTCAAAAATAAATGTTACAAAAATGCATTATTCCCAATCTATGATCAAATGGCATAAATCAGTTCTGTAACTTAAAGTAACAGATAATTAGACATATCATTTATTATGCTGGTTTTAGAAAGATATTAGTACAACTACTTTTCGTAAAAGTAATTAAAGAGAAGAAAATAGTATAAATAAGCTAAAATATCTAAAAAAATTAAGAAAATATTTTTGAGTTTTATGGATGTTTTGCATTTTTGAATATATAGTTGTACTAATATCTTTCTAAAACCAGCATAATAAATGATATGTCTAATTTCTGTTACTTTAAGTTACAGAACTGATTTATGCCATTTGATCATAGATTGGGAATAATGCATTTTTGTAACATTTATTTTTGAAAAATAAGACTCTTTAATTGTGATCATGTAAAGCTTAAAATATATGACCTTTATAAATGTAAGATGTAAACGTTTTAAGTAATTGCATTCCTAATTTACTCTTAAGCATTTGATAATTTTTACGAAGTCAGTTTTGTTTTCAAAATTTTTAGTTATGTAGTTTTGTTTTCAAAGTTTTCAGTTATGTTCATTAATAAGTTGTTTTTAACCATAATGTGACCATTATACTGCTGTTTTGTTATTAGAGTGATATTACAAGACTGAAGTCAATTGCATGGATAGTTGTTTTAATTTTATCTGTTCGCATTTGCTGATAGTAAAAAAGTGTTTCTAAAACTAAAGCCAAAAAAAATAAATAAATAAATAGCAGAGCAAAAAAAAATTTTATTGGAATTACTAAAATGACATCATGATTGGAACTTCACATCACAAAGTGCGAACAAGTGAGTTAGCTTCAAATTACAACAAAAGCACTATGTTGCCAAAACCTATAAAATAAATTATGTTATTATATAATATAACATTTTCCTTGTCATTAAAAAAGTGATAAACTAAAAGAGAAAGTCGCAAAAATCTCATCACGAAGAATCAACAGTTTCCCTGTAAATTGTGGTTAGTTACAACAAATTACACATCTTAAGGTATCTGCTGCACAATGATTCACTTTTCTAGAATGTTCAGTACTCTCCTGTTATTGGGACCAGGTTCAGAAATGTACATATGTATGTGTTCATGTATGCGTTTATTATATGTACCTACGTATGCATATGCATGTATATACACACAGACATATATGCCCATAGACACATACACCCTTGCATACCTACATACATTCCTGAATCGAGTTCTGATAGCGGAAGAGTACCAAATGTTCTCTCATATGAAAAGTGTTTGATATCAATATAGTTTGTATTTTGTTAAAGCTCTAGATTTTTTGACAGTCTCATTGCTGCAGTGTTATCAGCTTGAATTACTAGAACCTCATGCTGCTTGGTAACATCATTAAATAATCATTTTAACCAAATAACTTCTCTAGAACACTCTTTAGCGGCGATTAGTTCCGCATCGTTTGTCAAAGTTGCAATAACTGACTGCTTTTGGCTAATCCATGATGTAGCTCAACCACTATACAATATCACTACAACACTAGTAAATTTCCCTGGTTCTTGACATCCTCTGGAATTGGTGTCAGTGTAAGATTCCAGTATTCCTGGTTTGTGTTTGTTCTTGTTTCTAATACATTTAGTAAGGAGAACTTGTTATGTATCAGAATAGAGGTGTCACTTTGATTCAGTCATCTTTAGAAGGATTTTCAAGGTGATATAAAAAATGCCAATGGAGTATGGTACATCTGATCTTGTACCTAACGTATGATATATTAAATCTTATACAGCTTCTCTATAAATGTCTCTGTTTCGCATATTTTCCTCTTTCTTTTCAGTTGGACTTACCTTTAGGATGGAAGTTGACTGGCATGCAATTTTACATTCCAAATTTTCAAGTTTTTTTCTTGCATAAGCTTGCTGAATAATTTATTGCTTCCATCTTCTAAATGTTTAGTGTCAAGTCCAAGAAGGTATGCTGCTGGTTTAATTCAGAATGTGTCCTGCAAGGGACTTTTTCAGATTCTTATTGATGTAACTAAACCATGATCTACCTGTAAACAGATGATTAACTTCTTGCCACTTTTGTTTTATATATATATATATATATATATATAGCAGCATGGATCAGCTTCACTTGTCTTAAAGCCAAGTTATGACAAAAAGTGTCAAAAATATTTATTCCAGCTGCGTGATGCTTGTTTTAAGTCCATACAGATTGCATTTCAGCTTTATCAAAACCACTACTTTCTGGTTCATGCATGTATATAGAAGCTTCAAGTTCTCCATATAACATTGCTGAACAGGCAACAAACTGAGCAAGATCCGTTTTCTCATTAGCTGCAATACTGAGAACTGAATGAACAGTTCTTAACTTTGTTATTGAACTAAATGTAGTATCATAATCAAATCTAAAACATTAAGTAAACCATTTAGCAGCAAATCTGCTCTTAAATTTATCAAAAAATCCATTTGAATTATTTTTTTAATCTTTTGCAACTCATTTGCATGGTATAGCTTTAGCATCTTTTGGTAATATTTCTAAAGCTTGTGTTTCTGTTTCCATCAGTGATGTCATCTCGTGCATCTATAGCTTCTTATGAGTGTACACTTTGTTTACTATATATGGGCTCCTTCATTAATACCTGGCTTTTCAGAGTCAGCAATAAAAGCTTCACCTATCATTATATAATCTTCAAAACACTTTGGCTTTCTCAATTCAGCTCTACTTCGTGGCTGTGCATTATTGTGCAAAGTAATGTTTTCACACCCTTTCTGTGCACTGCAC